CCAGTCGTGAAGGATACCTGTTAGATATCCTTTTTACTTCTGGTGTAGAATTCTTTGAAATAAAAGTTATGCCTTTCCAGTCGTAGGCAATATCCATTGGATATTGTTTTTACTTCTAGTGTAGGCCGTCTTGACAGTCGAGTTATAGACCTCCTCTGTCATTATTGTACAACAGAACTTGTCCAGAAATACATTGACATTTCCTGGTTTACGATGAAAAGCTAGTTTAGATGTACAGATCACAGATCTTGTCATTTTTCTGGCATGAAGTATTGCTAGTAGAAGTGTCAAGCCTCATAACATCTGGACATGTTCTTGTTCCGGCACAATTTCCAGAAGGGTACGCCATGTTGTAATATCTTCTGGCCTCTTCTGGTTTGAACTACTCCACTTTGCAGAGTTGAAGCAAAATTTATGGGAGTGTGTGCCTTGGTCTTTCAACACAAGATCAATTATTGTGGGAGATCGTAGCGTAGCATATTCGATTTCTTTTCTAAAGTGGAGAACAATTGTACTGGAATGATTACAAGTCTATCGTTTACATGAAATTTGTCATGAAAAGCAGTTTCTCTATCAATTGAATATCCTACGCTACCAAGTCAATGGCCTCCACGTGGCATCTCCTGGAAATACTAATAATCTCAGTAGCTAACAATTGACAGGAATTTTTCACTTTCAGATAACTTCCCGATAAGATTCCCTCGTTTGATGCTCATAAAATGTTCGAATCTTCCTACAATCTAATAATTTTACTCCATTTCGGGTTTCCACGCTTTTTACGATTCCTCTGAAAGACTGGATGTATCTGAAAGAATCCTCTGAAACATTGGATATTCAGTGGGATTTTCAATAGAAAAGATAAGTGATAATATTCCAGAATGTTCATGCTCAACGTTTCTAGTAATTGATCCAGATTTTTTGAGACCTTTTTTCATGTTTTTCCGATATTTTGCAGGGAGTTTCCACGGACATCCATCAAGGCGTTGTCAATACTTTCCAATTTTCCCCTGTGTTCTAGTGAACTATTTTCTCGCAAATTTTATACTGGAAAACATAGAAGACTGTTCCGTTAAGATTCTTACATAATTTCCTACAACTTTTTTAAGACTCTGTTGGAGAATATTGTATAGAAAGTTCTCCAGAGGATTCATCTACGTTTCCACTGTATTTGTCCTGCGAATTTTTAGAAGATTATTCGACATTACCTCTTTTTTCGACCGATATAACATCCTCAAATTCCATAGGAACTTTTTCTCAACGATTATGGATAATTTTCCCGGTTTTCATGAGCCTTATCACGATTTATGTCTCCACTTATTTTAGTATTTTCCCTTTCCTCCCCCCCCCCCAAATTATTCTACAGAAAATTGACAAGGAGAGTACTGGAAGTTGACCTGGGCGATTCGTTACATGACGCAGGTGAGCCTCAAGTAAAATAAACTCGACAAAGTCATTTTATTTTTAATTTATTTATTTATTTTTATTTTTTTTTCAATTTTTAATAAAAAAAAAACTCTCCCTCAATGCAGGTGGAGGTTGGTGATGTGGAAGATCGGGGAACTTCCAGGAGGGATGAGGGATTGCAGGCGAGCCAACGTCCTGTCAACTGGCGGCGCAGGACTTGGCCCCGCCGCAGTTGTTGCCGCTCCGATCTTCTGGTTCTGTTCTTTTCTGTAAGAGAAAATGATCAATGTTTGTTAGTAGAATAAATTATTAATGGAAAAACTGTAATGAATTTGTTAGTTATTCTCACTTATTTCTCCTCCAGTTCTGCTTCCTCTGGCTCCCTCCTTTCCGATTCCCCGATCTACCTCCACCTGCTTTCCCATTTCCTCTCCTCGTCTGATCCCTCTGCTCCTCTTTCCCCTGACTCCTTCCCGCCACCGTCCTTGAATTTTTTTCCGGAACCCGGAAAACCGGGTTCGGAACGACATTGCCCCTCTCCGCTCTTCCTCGCTCCTGTCTTCTCTCCGCCCTTCCTCTCTCCTGACTTCTCCTTGCCGCCCTTCCTCTCTCCTCACTTCTCCTCGCCGCCCTTCCTCTCTCCTCACTTCTACTCTCCCGGCTTCTCCCCGCCCTTCCTCTCTCCCCACTCCTCCTCTCCTCACTTCTCCTCTCCAGCCTTCCTCTCCTCTGTCTTTCCCTCCTCTGCCTTTCTCTCTCCTGCTCCCTCTCTATCTCTCCTCGTCTCTCAAACTCCTTTCCGCTCTCCTGGGTGTCGGACATCGTTAACTATAACATGAAAAAATTATAAATGGCTGATTCCACGTTGTAACATTTTATTTTTTTTTCATCAAATTGAGTTTGAGATTTGAAGGTATCCAAATTTCGTTGCTGAGAGTTTATAGTACTATGGAAAATCTTGAGACTGAGCGCAAAAAAATTTGATTTATTTTTGGCAGCGAAATCGTAAAAAAAATGCAAATTCTTCAAAAATCTAATTTTCCTCAAATGTGAAAAAAAAAAAAAAAAAATGAAAATTTTGGGGTGGATTGCCAATAAGAAAACACAAACACAACAGTAACGTTCGTCCGAGTTAAAATATCTGGAAACGCGTAAGACTAATTCCTCATTGGCCAATAGGTTGTCATCGCACTCGGGGCGGAAAATTCAAGCGCCCCCGTCACGTAGAATGTGGTATCAGGTGACTTAAGGTGATTTTTTCATTTTTATTTGTTTTTCTCGAAAACTATAAGAGATAGCTGCTTTATTTCAATTGCAATCGGTTCTACGGAACATTTGAGTTCTTTGAAACCCCAAACTACTGTCAAAAGTAATGCGATATAAAAGTGATTTTTTCTTTTTTTTTTTGTTTTTCTCGAAAATTATAAGAGATAGCTGCAAACAATACAGCGCGCGTAGCGCGTCATCGGTCTTATAGTATCATGAAGACCTATATTCCTACCTAGTTCCATTGATTTTTTGAGACATCATATTTATACGGGAATTAGGGTTACAAAAATTTTTGACACGCTATTTGGACATGTTGAAGCTAATCGGAGCCCAGGAGCAAATTTCTTATTATTATCTTATTTTTGAGAGCAAAACGAGACTCACAAAAAACTTTCAATGATTATTTTTTTCTTTCGGATTCTGGTTAATCAGAGCGCAGTATTTCGACGTGAATAAGAGAATGCTACTAACAATTTTTGGCAATTTTTGATCATTTTTGATAATTCCGCTCTAGCTTTTCAATTGTTTTTATAATCAAATAACTGTCAGAGATTATAAGAAATAGTGAGAGGACTGTGAAAGAAAAAAAATGAAAAATGAGTCGATTCGGGAAGAACTCTTTGGAAAAAATGAAAAGAAATAGAAAACGATCATCATATCAGTATGGAGACGATATTGAATTTATCATGTGAGTTGAAACTCTGCACTTTGTTTGGCCAGGTCCGAATGAAAAAAATAATCCGCCGAATATCACTCGACCTTCAAAATTCATCAAATATTTTCCTTTTGTTTTCCTGAGTAACAATCAACGGGTGGAGTTTCACACAAACCTCTGAAACTTCTCTCTCTCGTTGCTACACAACAAAACAATCAGAAAATATGCGATAATTTTGAAGGTCATGTGATATTACTACTGAAAATTTTTCTCATCTGGCACACAGATGCTCAACGGAAAACATTTTTCGCGTTTCATAACCATATAATCATTCTTGCTGGTTTTGAGATATTATGGGTGAAAGAATCATCAACAAAATGAGTAAGGCTTTGATTATTAATCAATAATCAAAGCCAATCATTTATTGATTGCAAAATGATTAATTCACCAAAAGAAACGTGAAAAAAGAATGAAATTTACATACCTGTTTGATTCCAAAGCACACACAACACAACACAACACGTGATGACAAAATAATGATGATTATTATCGGCCCATATCATTCACTTTCCCCCATACGGAGTCGCCCCCCGTGAAAAAATTCCGCAACTTTTGTTAAAAACACCCCTAATTGAAAATAAAATAAAAAAAGAATCTTTTCGATCCTCAAAAAACTTCTTTCCCTGAAAACTTGTTTTTTTTAAATAAAAATTGGCCATTATTGGCCAATTTTGAGATATTTGTGGGTGAAAAGAGGTGCGGAGAGATTTGCAAAACGCCGGCCTCTCCACCCCACCCCCTTCTCTAATAGTGTTTACATCGTACGGAACCGTATGACAGTGCCGGCGTGAAAACATCGCCTTAGTCGCGGTCGGTAAAAAGGAGCGCTAGGTAGGCATGGGACTTGCCGCATTTTCACTGGAGCATTGAGTCGCCGTGGATTATCTTCCCTCAGTGTTCGGCTATGACAGCTGATCGCCAGCTCGTTGTACACTTCTTATTTCGCGAGTGTTTATTTATTTATAATAAGTGTAGTTTTAATAATTCGGGGGAAAAATTTGTAATCGCGCTACATACGCGAAATTTTTAGATTTATTTTGTGTTCAGTGAAATTTTTGTCGGAAGTGAAATGTGACCGGGGTTATCTACACTAACAAGATTATCTACCCTCAGTGCATACTCTTCCCCCAAAACTTTGTCTACTTCTTACGGCGCGAGTTTTTTTTTATTCTTTATAAAATTAGGCTCAAAAAATTAATCAATAAAATAGAATTCGCGCTACATCGCCCTTTTTTCTTTTTTTATTCCCTTTAGGCTATAAAATTGCCCCCAAAAAGTACCGGAGAACAGTGGGGGAAATACGCCATCTTAGATGGCAGAGAACATAGACGAGGGGGGGTGGGTGGAGGGGAGAGGGGTTTCGAACCTCCATGCGGGCCTTAATATCTCCTAAACTACTGGGCCGATTCACTTTTTTATTCAAAATATTTGTCACGATATCTTCTATCAAGATCAATCAAAATATGTATACCCGCCCGTACAAAGTTTTCGAGATATCAGCGTTTTTCTAATTTTTTCATTTCAAAGTTAATGTGGTGTCCATAATACGCGTCAAGCTTGGTCTAGACATCTGAGATTCTGGGTACTAATTTGTATTATGAGCCCACAGTTATGTATAAAATTTTGTGTCAATCGATTCAGTACATCCGGGCATAGAGCAATTTATCCAAAAATTTTTTTATTCTAAAAAATTACACATCGTCATTTTATCAATGATTTTCGTCGCTATATGACTTAAAAAATCATAACAACAATTTATAGTGTTTTGTATTTGATGAAATGTCATAGCTATGACAGAGGTAGAAGTTAAAATTTGGTAAAATTGTAGCTCTTATGACATTTACATGATGAAATTGTATAGCTCTGAGTCAGAGGGCGGTATGGTTTATTCCCCTCACCAATATGAATAGCTTTTTGAGTAGTTATTATTTGCGAAATTGTACGGATCCATTCGGAAACTTATTAACAATGGAATTGGTAGAAAAAAAAAGTAAACGTCACATGCCTTCTGCCAAAAAGGCTTACAACCCTGCTTGTTTCTCTTTCGAGTTAAGAAATTAAAAAAATCGTGCACCGAAATTTAAAAAGTTCAAGCCAAGGAATTCCTCTAGATACCATTGTCACAGAATTAGTTGTGTAACAAGATAAAATATTGCCGATTTTTTTTTTGTATATTTTCGATTGAACAGTCAATATAAAAAAGGGGGCAGTAAGGCTGCGGACTTTTTTTCGTAGAATCGCTGGAAAACGAATGGTTATCAATAGAAGATCAATAGGAATTCAATAGAATTGTCTAGCGAATGCGTGAGATCTTTAAATTAGCTGTTTTTCGTACGTGTCCTGACAAACCAGAAACTGCTCCTCATGATTTTATATTTGAATGTTGGATTAAAAAATGATGATGGTTTTATCTAGTTTTCTGATAGGAGTGATTTATTTTAAAAAATTGTTCTATTAGAAATGAAGATTCGAAATTATAAACTTGTTAAAAACAACAGGAACTTGTATTTACAAGATGATAGATTCGATTGCGCTCATTACAATTTCACATGATTACTTGTATAGAGTATTTCGATGAATTATGTAGTAAAGTGCGAAGTAAGATGCATAACTCTACAATAAATTTATGGTTATTTTCGAAATATCTTCGGAATTATAAAAACATGCAGGGGACTTTTTTAGAATGAAATTGCATAATTTGAGAGAAAACTCTGTTGACATTCCTTTGTAATAAAAAATATTGTTGAGAATCCTCTCTTCCACTGAGGAAAATGAATCTAATCTAAAATCAATTTGCGGATAGCTGCAGCTATATGTTGAAAACAAGCACATTTAGAGAAAAAATTTAGGAAACCCTTGTAATAGAGAATCTGTCTCTACAAGAAGATGGATTTTTGTTTTTCCAAATATTCGGGACAATTTTTTCATCATTCTACTACGGGATAAAATTACAAATATTCCATGTTGCTATGGGTGGAGTGGAACCTCTGACGCATGATCCATCATACATCTCTAGAACAGAAAAAAAACAATTCAATTAAGTTCCTACAGAAGAACATGAGAGTAACTGAGGAATATGCGTGGACGTGAGGAATTGTTCCTCAATCTAGTCAGACATTTCTTTCAAGCTCTCCGCGAATTCCGAAAACAGTAGGACTCCTGTAATTTCGAGCCGGCTTTTTTCAACGGGCGAAGTCACTGCGTCCCCACTCTCGCGCTTTCAGTCCTCACTCCTTCCATTTACGGACGGTTCCATCATCTCCCGGGCGCATAGCCCTATGCTCGAGGAGGTGGCTTTGATCCACCATGCCGTACGGACGTATCCAAGCGCCCTTATACCGGTCCAACTTGACATCTCCCTAACCTCAAACACGCGGCCTGAGTGCCGGTGTTAGCGTCTCCCTCCCAGACCCCAAAATGGCTTCCAGCCATAACATGACTTCTCACACCCAATCAACTATGGAAATGTACGAAGAACCTTTAATCCTTTCAAACCAGCTAAAGCAACATTCTCAAGATCCCCTTCTGTCACAATCAAGCCAAGCATCAACTGAAGATGAACTTTTGGATGAGCTGAGGATGGAAGTAACATCCATTGAATGGCAACACTATTGCGATTTCAATAATCTAGATCACAATGACATCGAAGCCAGAACTCAATTCATAAATGCAATACTATACGTCTCACAATCCAAAACTCCCCTCTTTCATAATCCCCCAATATCATCCAATCCATCATTGATGGGCATATCCCACTCTAATAAAAGAAGTAGAGATGATGACAACAATGCGGAAGATGATCCATTTAGCCCAAGCGACAAAGTTCAATATCTCTCAAACGCTCCCTCCACACTAAAAAGAACTCCAATTAATCCCACAGTCGATAACATCGACTCCAGCAAAAAGCCATCCCGTCGCCGTCAAGCACCAACAATACCACCTGATGCTCTCGCGAACCGTTATTCTGCTGACTACATCAATTCGACTTACGATGTTCTCTTTCAAGCCGAGCCCTCACATCCAGATACAAAAAGTCTTAATGAAATGACGCTTGCCCTCCTAGTGGTCAATATCCTCGAGGAGGAAGAAATCCACTCCGAGACTACCACAGGACAATAGATTGGATCTGCAATCCTTTATTCATTTAACACCATGGATCAAGCCCACCTTATGCTAAACCACGAGAAGCTGGCAAACAACAAAATAATTGCCTACATCCCCGAATGGAGCTTAGAGAGGAAAGGTGTTATCAACGGCGTCAACCTGGACACCGATGTCAATGACATTTTGAAATACACCAAAAGCCCTACGAACATTAAATCTGCCAAGAGATTCGATCGTTATGTACGAAACGACGACAATAATACCACACCCATACCAACTAGAAGTGTTTTCCTAATATTTGATGGTCAGATCATACCCACCTATGTCACGCTATTGGGCCTCTACTGCGAGGTCAACCCATACACAGCACCTGTAAAGCGTTGTGGCAACTGTTTACGCTTTGACCATTCCAAAAAGCACTGCAGAAGCCCTAAGACCTGCAACTACTGTGGAAAGAGCGACCATGGAGAGGGAGTGAATTATCCCTCAATAGAAAAACCACCACACTGTCTGAACTGTAAAGGACAACACAAAACTACTGATAACCTGTGCCTAGAGCTAATCAATCAGAAAAAAACTTACAAATTTGCAGCTGAAAACAACATCTCTTACAAACAATCCAGAGAAATCTTAAAAGTTGACACCTCTCACAACTTCCAACAACAACAACCTCCTCCCCCTGCCCCTCCATTCGCCAAACGGAACTTCCTACCCATCCATCCAAAGGAAAAAAAACATCCAACTCCTCCAAAAAACCTATGGAACCTCTGTAACTACGTCACCCCCACTCAGAGCCTCCAACATCATACATCCTCTACAGAATTCAACAGTACCATCTTCAAACCCCTCACCCTACCTTCCCTCAAACCAAAGGTCGTCCATACCTCCTAAACCCTCCTCTCCCTTTACCCCTCCCAAACCTCTACGACCTCAAATGAACATCCAATTACGCCACCTTCACCAGCACCATCAAGATCTTCTCATATCCCCCAACGGGTACAATTGTACCAACATGAATCCACAATCAACCAAATCGATCTACCCTCCTATAACTCGCACGAAGTCGTCAACGATCCACATTGCCCTACACGTGATGAAACTGTTCGTATCCACAATTCTCTCTCACCTATCTCAACCACTGGTCGCCTCAGTTGGAGTAGTAGATATCATAAACCAAATCAATGCCCGCATTGAAACTCTCGACCTAAAAAATAATACAAATGCTTCACCACCTACGCCCCTCAATGAAATCAAAAATGGATCCTCAACACAACAATAACCTTCCTCCTTCCATCAAAATCCTTCAATGGAACGCCCATGGAAGATACAGCCATATATTGCTTCTACAAGTCTCGCCAAGATTATGCCACAGAAGACGATTGGTCTACCCTGCTAAATCTCTCTCGAAAAGCCCACGCAACCATAACAGGAGGAGATTTCAATGTGCACTCAGAAGTTTGGGGCAGCGATAAACTCTGTCCTAGTGGTCAACACCTAGTCAATGCTCTGGCAAATAGCCACCTACGTTCAATAAATGATGGCTCAGCAACCAGAATCACCGGGCCATATGAAATACGTTCAGCTGTAGACATTACTCTGGTATTAACAAACATAACACTCAACACCAACTGGGAGGTCCTCAACGACTCACTGGGAAGTGACCACTTCCCGATTGCTATAAATGTGAACGTCTCGGCGGAAAACAAGTATATTCTCTCACAAAATCAAAACCCACAAAGTTGACTGGCAATTAATTAATGATTATCTTAAAGACCACGAAGTTACAGTCTCTGATCTTTCGTATCATCTGGATGCCCCGTCTGAATACGAATCAATAATTGATCTCATCATGAACGCAATTGACTCAGCTTCTCCCCAACCCAATAATAGTTTCAAACAAAATACTAAGACCAACAAAAATAAATCCAACCGTCGAAAATCTCCAGCTCCTTGGTGGTCTGAAGCAGGTCGGAAGACTGTAGCCCAGAGAAAACTAAGCATGAGGACTTTCTACTGTGCTGCAATCTGGACTAGTTACATCCATATGAAAAAACAAATTGCAACAACTAAACTCCTACTAAAAAAAGAGAAGCTCAAAGGCTGGGAGACTTTCTGCTCATGTTTGAACAGAAAAACTCCCATCAGAGCAATGTAGAAACGTATCAAAGCTTTTAAAAATCGGAAAACCCATAACCCGAATTTCACATCTGCTAATGACACCGAAACACTAGAAAAAATGAAAGAATTTATCAATAATTTCTGTCCGGATCTTCCAGAATATTATCCCCCCCCCCACCATAAAAAACCTTTAACAACAACGAATTCCTCGACCAAAAATTCACCTTAAAAGAATTCTCTACGGCCTTGACAGCAAGTAAAAATCTTCGTCGCCGGGACTTGACAAAATAAATTACCCTCTCATCTCAAGACTCCCACTCTCATTCAAAGAAACCTTACACACAGAAAAACCTAAACGTAAATTACGTTTTGCTACACGTAAATTACGTTTTGATAAACGTAATTTACGCTTAACGTCAATATGTCCGGTGGCTTTTTTCCGTCATGAAAATCGGAATTTAGGCTTTAAAAAAGCGTATTTTACGGTCGAAATAAAAACGTTAATTACACCTAAATGAAGCGTATTTTACGTTTAGCAAAATGTAAATTATGCCTACACTGATTTAAAAAAAAAGAAATTTCATGGACATTTGAATAACGATTTTCAGGACAGTGCCACTGAATGCGATTTAGGAGAAAAAAAGCATGAAATGTCAGGTTTCACTGAAAATTCAAAAATTTTAAGGGGCATAAAGACAAGAATTCCTTAATTTATTTGAATATCCAATCTAATAAGAATTTTCAGTATTAAGGGGAGACTACTATGAGTTTTAAAAGTCGCGGGTTATTGGAATGAGATTTCTCATACATTGAAGTTCGATTATACATGTCTAAAAACGAATAATTAGTGCAAAAAAACGACTTCTTTATTGTTCGCTTTCCCCGCAAATGCTTAAAATGTTGAAAATAGTCCACGGTCTCCAATGTTTGAGCTACAGAGATTTCTTTTTTCCCAAAATTTTTGAAAAAATGTGTACAATAACAATTACGAATTAGTTTTTTGAAATTCAACTCCTACACGGCTATATTCTTTATTATTCTAATAAAAAAAATTGCACCATTCATGTAGAATGGGGTCAAAAATATTTTTGAAAGAATCAGGAATATATTTTTAATATTTTAAGGCTAATTTTTCTGGCTATTTTACATGAATGGCGCAAATTTTTACAGTAAACAAAACGAAATTAGCTGTGTAGGAGTCGAATTTTAAAAAACGGAATTGTTATTGTACACTTTTTTCAAAAATTTTTTAAAAAAACCTCTGTAGCTCAAAAATTAGAGGCCCTGGAGTATTTTCAACATTTTAAGCGTCTACGGGGAAAACGAAGAATAAATAATTAATTTTTTTGCACTAATTATTCGTTTTTAGACATGTATAATCGATCTTCAACGCATGAGAAATCTCACTCTAATATCCCACGACTTTTAAAAATGATAATAGTCTCCCCTTAAATTGTATCGAATTTCCAGTTTTTTCCCCTCTAAATCGCATTCAGTGTCACTATCCTAAAAATTCAAGAATATATTTACCACAATTTTTTGGTTTTCTATTCATTTTCAGGGAAAAATGGAACGGGAATTTACAGTTCTGTTGTATTTTTCCACGAGATTCTGAATTTTCAATGACAAGATTTCCTGAAATTTCAGTGTAATTGAAACATGATAAAAATTTCGGGAATTTGGCACGGAAAATTCAGACAAGAATTGTTAACAGTGTAAACAAAGCGTCTTTTACGTTTATCGAAACATGAATTACGTTTATCAAAACGTAAATTACGTTTATCAAAAAT